CCTTTCTGAACACGAGCCCAACAACCCAAAACAACAAAACCAAACAGAACAACAAGCACGAGCGAGGTGGCCATCCAACTCATGGATTTCTTCATTTTGTCTTTCAGGTTTGGTGCCTGCCTGCTGTTTTCTGCCCTGTCCGCTGGAACAGGTTCACCTGTGAAAGGTTCTTGCTCCTTTGAAAGGGGTGCGTGACTGTCTCCGGGATTGCATTCCTGCCACACTGTGTCACTCTCTCAGCTTTGTTTTTCTTTTCGGGCAAGCGTTGGATGAATGACCGGATTGGATTTCGGCGGCGTGGCAGCGATCTCTCTGTTCAGTTGGGATGGAGGGCATGCGTCAGGCACCAAAACTCCATTTCACGTCACATCCTTCGTTCCTCATGCTTTTAGTTCTTGTCCTCACGTGGTCAGCTCCCCGCTGATTGAGCAGCATGACCAGCATCATGTTCGCACTTGAAGAAAACTTCACATTTGTCTCCGAGCTCTTGGCTGCTGTGGCCGCCTCTGCCTTGCAATCCTTTGTCTCCCAGCTCTGGACGTCGCAAGCTCTAGTTTCGATTTTGAAAAACACAAAACTGTTTGGGGTCTGCGGTGGTGTAATTCTTTCAAATGCAAAACCAGATATTGACAGCGTGCGCTGACAGCGTGCGCTGCTCTCGACAGGTCATTTTTGACTTTGATGTCAGGATGTCTTAACTCTGTGGAAGTAACCTAAGAGCGATGTGGCCTCCAACCTAAGAGCAATGGACTCCAACCTAATAGCGATGGCCTTCACAGCCTTCAACCTACTAGCTTCTTTAAGCTTTAACGTGAGGGTCGGATATTCACTGAACCAGGTTTGAATTTGACACGTCAAGTTGACTTTGATGTCCGGAGGACAACAGACTCTCCGAGGTCCTTCTGGGGTTGGAGGCCATCGCTATTAGGTTGGAATCCGTTGCTCTTAGAGGTTGGAGGCCACATCGCTCTTGGGTTGGAGGCCGTCGCTCTTATAGGTGGTTGGAAGCCATCGATTTTATGTTGGAGGCCATCGCTCTTGGGTTGGAGGCCATTGCTCTTGCCATCGCTAGTAGGTTGGAGTAGGTTGGAGACATTAGGAGACATCAAGGAGATAGATTGGTGATGAGATGACTGGTGTGGGTGGTAAGCTGAGTCAAGCAACAGCTGAAGTAGGAATTCGCCCAGCAATTAATATCTATATATTAACTACTAGCTTCTTGTTACTACTAGTAAGGCACTTGTTACTAGTAGCGATGCACTTGTTCCTAGTAGCTTAAATTAGTCAATATGCTATGACGTGTTCGGCTCCGAGACAAGACCAGATGTGCCATCTGAACATGTCGAAGACGTCGTGCCTTGAGAAGCTCTAATTCCAAGGCTCGAGTCCTCCGATGACGTCGTTGCTGTGCCATTCGTTTCGGAAACGTTTTTGGGAAAGAGTTAACAATGCATCGCTTCTAGTAACAAGTGTCTTACTAGTAAGGCACTTGTTACTAGCTTCTAAATATAGTCCTATATAGTTTATAAACATACCATCTCAAACCGAAACATGTCGGCCTCCAGAAGCGGACCTCCTGCAAATATTGGGCGTTCAGATTTCGAAGCCTCGAAAAGGAAAGCGACAGCGACAACACAAACAAACTGCATACTGTGCATACTGTGCATACTGTGCATATTGCATAGTCTTCTAGTAGCGATGCATCTTGCCACTAGTAGCGATAGTAGCTATTTGTTACTTTCATGTTTACTACGAAAGTTACGATGCATCTTGTGTACTCTTTCATGTGCACTTTCGTGTACTGGAAAATGGAAAAGAAGAGAAGGATGCCGAGAAACAGCGAACAGCGAGACCGTAACATCCTTGCGCAAAGTTTTGTCACGGAATTTTGCCTCTTCTAGTTCTTTTTGCATCGATGCCCCCGATGGCATCCTTTTTACTTTAGCCCAACTTGGCATGGTCAAACACACCATGCTAACTTCGAAGGTTTTGCCGGGCTGGCATTTGAACCGATCGAAGAATGGATGTGATATATGTCATATATAAGCGTTGCTACAAAGACCAACCTCGTCGCCACGATTGGTCGGGCTTCGATTATCTCGATTTCGACATCCACTTTCCGGAATCTTTTTCGGATCTTTCGACACTCTTTTGAGATCAAACGCATTCCTTTTATGTGTTTTAAACGCATTCCTTTTTCAGGTCTTCTGTGTTCTCCGTTTTAGACGAAGACGTGGCGGCCGCGGCCGCGGCCTGTGCTGCACATCCGCCAGTTCTTTCCTCGCGGCTGGTGCTTCAGAAATTGTCTTAAAAATTAATTCAAAATAAGAAACAACAATTACGAACATAATTTTGTCTAAATTGAATTCAGAAACATGTCTACTCAAGGTCTTGAATCTGTGCCTGAGGCTTGCATTTTCGGGCACCTGGGGGCGGAAGAGCGATGTGGCCTCCGACCAATCGACACGTTTTTTCCGCCTCATCTCCGTCCTGGCGACGGAATTCACTGTGGTGACTGCAACAAGTGACGGCACTTGTTCCTAGTAGCAATGCACTTGTTACTACTAGTAAGGCAC